AACCCTAAACCCCTAAGCCCTAAACCCCTAAACCCTAAACCCTTCAACCCTAAACCCTAAAACCCTAAAGCCCTAAAACCCTAAACCCTTCAACCCTAAACGCCTAAACCTCGAACAAGAAACCTAATCTCCGTGAACCCTAAACCCTAAACCCCTAAACCCTGAGCAAGAAGCCTAATCTACCAACCTTGGTGCAATGTGACAGCAGGCCGCCCGAAGCAGGGGATGCACCCGAGGCCGGTTGACGACAGGATTCAGGGTTGAGGGTTTAGGGGTTTCAGGTTTAGGGGTTTTCGGGTTTGGGGTTTTCGGGTTCCTTATATACCAATCTAGGATTTCAGTTTCTTCACCCGATTAGCAGGAGAGGGTTGCTGGCTTTCGGGGGTGAATGTACAGGAATTTGGTTTCAAGTTTTAGGGTTCAGAATTGGCAAACTTGTAGCTTGAGGGCTTGAGCCTTAATAGTTGGAATAGGGCTTTGGGGCCCGTTATACTATGACTATAACTGTAATAAGGAACCCCAAAATGATCTTTGAAATTATGTAGGCCCCTACATTATCCACCCGAACCATGCAGCCGTTAACACGAGCTCCCGATGCTTACATCCCAGCTTCTGCTGCATAACACATGTCAAACCCTAAACCCTAAACCCTACACCCTACACCCTAAACCCTAACCCTAAGTCTAGATTTCAAGCCTCCGTCTCCGCAAACCCGAAAGCCGGACCCAGGGTTCTGAGGACCAGGCCGCGAGGTCACCTTGAAGCGAACTCAAAGAAGAACCACTGTCTTCTGGGGTTGGGTTTAGGGTTTAGGGATTGCGAAACTATGAACCTCCCTCCCAACCCCGCCCCCCCCTCCCCGTTTTGACCTTAGGCCCATGAGACTTTTGATCACCCTCCATCAATCATAGCCGTGCATGACTCCCTCATTGAAACACTGCAGCGATGGACAACCGCACGCCACAAGGCTGGCAATGTGCTTCATTCCATCAACTGAGCTTGTGGAGTGACAGTGGCAGAAGAGCGCACGAGATACTGGTCAACCGAGGGCAAGTGTGGAACAGCAGAAGGGAGGACAAGCTTCTGGAGAGAGACACAACCGAGGTCCGTTTCTCCCTGACGAGCATGCGCCCAGTCCACCTGTATATCCGCTCAAAGTCACGCCATGGAACAAGCAGCGGTGGGTCATCTTGAGCGCTGGTCGAATGCTCTGTTGAGGACGAGGGATACCTGAAACCGTACCCATAACGGGGTCGAGTGCTCCTTATCTTGGCTTCTGGCTCCAGTCTAGTAGCGCGAAGCAGCACGAAATCAAAAAGCAACGAACAGTGGACCCTTCGCTTCACGAAAGACCGACTCTAACATACCACAGTCCACTTTTGTGGGTTCTGCAGAAATGCCCATGGATCCTACAAAAGTCTAGGATCTGGCTGCTTTAAGGAAAACTCTGGGGTCGGGGAATCCTAAACCCAAGACTCTCACTCTCAGCGACCCATAAAGAGAGTCTATAAGGACAGGAGGTGTTGGACCTGTGGTGTAGAAGCCCTATAGCCCTAATCTCTACATCCTCAAACCCTAAGCCCCTGAACCCTAAACCCTAAACCCGAAACTCTAAACCCTATACAACTCTGAAGCCCCAAAGCCTATAGTCTAGGAGTCTACATCCTAAAACCCTAAACCCCTAAACCCCTGAACCCGAAACCCTGTAGCCCTAAACTCTACATCCTAAAACCCTAAGTCCCTGAACCCGAAACCCCAAAGCCTATAGTCTAGGAGTCTACATCCTAAAACCCTAAACCCCTAAACCCCTGAACCCGAAACCCTAAACCCTATACTCTAGGCTATGGCCCTAATCTCTAAATCCTAAAACCCTAGACCCCTGAACCCGAAGCCCTAAACCCTATAGCCCTAAACCCCTAAACCCTAAACCCTAAACCCTAAACCCTAAACCCTATAGTCTAGGAGTAGAGGTTGGCGGCAATCATCCGCTTGACATGAGGCCTCTGCAAGCACGGAGCCGGTCCCGAAGAAGTCGCAGCTAGGCTTAAACCGAGTGGCGAAGATTTCTGGGTATCTTGGGGTTTAGAAGGGTTCTAAAAACCTTGGGGGTTTAGAAGGGTTCTAAAAACCTTGGGGGGTTTAGAAGGGTTCTAAAAACCTTGGGGGTTTAGAAGGGTTCTAAAAACCTTGGAGGTTTAGTTGGGTTCTAAAAACCTTCGATCCCCCTAACATTAAACCGGGAGGGGAGGCCCTAAACTCGAAAAAGGTATTGATTGTCAGGGGGAGCTTTTGTGTCTACTCTCACTTTTTGGGGGATCTTGCCTTTGGTCCTGCTCTTTGCTGCTGCTTGCTCTTGCTCCTGCTCCTGAACCCCCTAATCCACTAAATCGGAGTTAACAGGCTGTGATGTGTCCAAGTGGATATTCAGCAACTTGTGTTTGGTCGTAGGGGAGGTCTCTAATAAAGGGGGCCAGGGATAGTTGGGCTTTATAGCATTGTATCGGATTTTTTTGGAGTGCGAATATGAGCAGGGTTGAACAAAGGTTCCGCGAACTTTCTTAAGATTTTGGGTGCCATATACAAGAGGTCTTAAACAAGACCACATGGTTCGGCTTTGCTTGGGGTACTTTCTGAAACTCTTTGTCTGAAGACATATGCAGACCAACTGAGTTCTCCACACCCAATGAGAGTCCATAAATGTGCGCACTGCACTGAGTTGATATAAAGCGTTGCTTGTGGTGTGGTCAAGGCTTTCATGTTCGATTGCAGAATAGGACCTAGACCCCTGAGTGAGATTTCCCACTCACGGAGGACACCACACACAAAACGAGCCAACAGTCCATCTCAAAGAAGAAAGGGGACCCACGAATTCTACAGCCCTCAGCCCTAAATCCGACCCAAGCTCTAAATCAACCGGGGCCCCACAACCCCAAACCCGAAACGCTAAACAAAAGAAGGGGCCGATTAAACGCCAACCAAAAGCTTCAACCCTAAACCCTGAACCCTGAGCCTTCAGCCCTAACCCGCAAAAGCCCCAGCCTTAAGAACTACTCTCGAGCTGGTACTTCCACCCTGGCCTCTTCAATTTTGTGAAGCTGATAAGTTAGAGGCTTTGAGTTTATGGTTTAGGGGTGTAGGGTTTGGGGTTTAGGGTTCAGGGTCTAGGGGTGTAGGTTTGAAGTTTGGGGGTCAACTTAGGGCGTAGGTTTGAGAGTTGAGAGCTTATGGTCAGAGGCTTTGAGTTTAGGGTTTAGGGATTTAGGGTTTAGGGGTTGAGGGGTGTAGGTTTGAGTTGTGGGGTTTAGGGTTTAGGCTTTTAGGGTTTCAAGTTTGGGGTTTAG